TAATAATTCTCTCGAATTATTAAGAATTAAATTGAATTCCGTTTCCTAGGAGAATTTTTGAATGATGAGAAATTCTTGGATATTCAAATGACATATACATTTTAATTTTTGCGATATTCAGAAATTTTTAATTTTCCAAATATGATTTAATATATTTCAATTGAATATTCAAGGACTTGAACTGCGATTTTTCGAAGTTGGAGCTAATTGATTTCGATTGATTGACAGAGATTGACTCACCAAATTGTGGTATATCCGTAAATCCATTGATATCATGTTTTAAACAGATTGTGTAAATGTTCTGTAGCATCTGGAGACATCGCACAAGGACCGACGGAGATATCAGGGATTACTTAGAGATTTGGGGATGAAATTTATCACAACTTCCGGTTATCAATGGGGGTAGATAACAGAGATGGGATTAGAGGATGAAACAGAAGTAAAAGCGCGGAACGAGTGGCTGGTGTTTTAGAAGTGAGTGAGGGACGCGAACTGAAAAACAAGGGGAATCACCGGGGATTGTGAACCCGCGCATGCGTCGTGCCCTCTTCCTCTTTTATTTCCCTCGTCTCTGCCGTTCCCTCTTTTTTCACATCCTTTTTTCACCATTTCTTCATCGCACTTCTCTTGCCATTCCATTTCGACGGTTAACATCTTTGAGGCTTTTGCGATCTGCTGACAGTTTGTTAATCGAGACGGATTGTTATGTTCCTGACGTAGGCGGAATCGTGACGAAAATGTCGAATTGTCGGTTTTGCTGGGGATTGAGGGTTCAAGGAATTTCGAATTTTCCGGTCACCAATGGATTTTCAAATTTATCGTTTTCTCCGATTTTTAATATCGCCGAATATGCGAAATATTTTCATTTTCACGACCGAAATTTTCGGCATGGAACTGCCCCGAATTACAAAAAAATACTATTATTATTTCAATTAGTTTTTAGTCATAATTATTTTTGTGAAACTGCTTCTTAATTGGTAATAATTACGTCCGCGGAATTTATTACTGTCATTATTATTCACTGCTGTTATTTTTTGGTAATTTTATTAGCTATAAAAAAGTTCTCCACTCGATCATGAATATTTTCATATTATTTTTAAGAACTAGTCATTAAAAAATCGAATATACCATTTTTCCAACGTTTCGAAAATTCGAAAATTAAGGAAAAAATCGAAAACTTCTAACTTCCGAATTTCTTCGAGTTCTCCCAATCGCTTTCCGTCTAGAATTCAATCGAATATCATTATGCATGAAGTGCCAAAAAATTTATAACAATATCTCAACTGATACCCGCGAAAATCACAAAATAAATCAATTCCACCAAAATAAAAAATCAAAAACATGTCCCCCCCATTGCTACTGAATTCCAAGCCTCGAAAAACTGACTCACACTTCCCCTACAATTCAAAACAACTTTCGATTAAATAAATATGACATGATCGGGCAAAAATCGATAAATAAATTTCACCTGCCACCGAACCTCCGAGAAATCAATGCCAAAACGAAGAGACCCCTGACCGACCTCCACCGATCAAAAACCGGTTCGATCCATTTGTCTCGAGCCACGCGCGATCTATAAACCCCAACTACTAACGATCAAGGGTTGTCCTTGATCCCCGATGATGGGAATCAAGGCGGGCGTATCAATTGATAAAATTCCCGTCCGAATTTCATGAATATTCATGGCACATGACATTGTGTCAGGCCGTCGCCTACCCACCATCAGAACTAAAATAAACCGGATGATTTGTGAACGCTGAAATTGGCAACAGCATTCGTAAATTTTTCCGAGGCACTTAAAAGCGCCTGTCAATAACCAGAGGACTAGCATCCAGGGATGCAGAAGCGGCGAGAGGAGCGATGACAAATAGTCTCATTCCAGGGCGAGGCACTCCAGTGGGTGGAAAAGAAGAAAAAAAAAATAAAGATTTTTCCTCGTACATCATCCGAGAAGCTTTCGCGCTGGCCATTGACGATACCGAGGCATTTCGCGGTTGTTTATTACCCCATGCATATTCCCGCTATTTTTCAACTCTGTTTCCTTCACCTTGGATTCCACCAGCTGCCGAGCTCCCAAGAGCTGTGTAATCTCAGCGATGAACGATTGACGTTGTATCAACACTACACCGAGGGGATTTTAAATTTAACCGGAAGTGTGCACGCACCATGTCCTGGTATTCCCTCAACATTAGACACCCCATCCCCTCCCCTTCTGGAGAAACATCTTCGACACTTCCTACCGTCTCAAAAGGAGGAAATTGAATTTCAGGGAGTGATCACTAATTTTCTGGACTGTGACACTCAGTGCCATTTACCGAGGGAGGAACAAGTGGGCTATTCCCTTTGATCTATCTGTACTCTATTTTTTTTCAGTGATTCATTGATTATTCATAATAATTTATTATCTACTTATTCATTCATTTATTATTCAATATTTTATTTCATAACCGCCGATTCCCACGATTTCTATTCCGATTTTTATTTGCATTTTGAAAATTGGAAATTGAAAATTTAAGGATTCTAGGGATTTTTAATTGCACCTTTTTTTTGGTTCTCCACGGAATTACGAATGTTGTAAATAAAATGTCTTGGTCGTGCTATAATTTTTCTTTTATTCTCCAAGTGGAAAATCAATAATCGCACCATCTTCCGGACCCTTTTAAGCCGACATTATCATATCGGTGATGGCTCTGACTGTCGCAAAGTGCGCAGTTGGTTTCGATGTAATCTACCTTCAATAACTCCGGGAAAACCGGTGTTTAATGTCACTACATGTACCTAAGACCGTTTTTACAACTTCCGTCGTGGAAAAAGAAGAATTGACTTGTTGGTTTTTTCATGGGTAAAATTACGACGAGAGAATGGGCTGGAAAGACCTCCACACATTTTTTTTTATTGCGATGAACGTCAAATTCATGAACAACATGGAATAATAAATTGAAAGGCTCGGAATTATGACATAGCCATATGGTTAAACCCTTAAAAATTTAAAGTTCTCCCGGAAAAGTTATGAAATCACCACCAAAAATGAAATTCAACGATTTTTTTCCAAATACTTCAAGCAATTAATTCCAAACAATAATATCTCGAATAATAATTTGAATAGATTTATATATCTACTTATGAGAAATATTTTTCAATACTTGAAAAATAATTGTTTGATATGAAATTAGAAATTATCCATCCGCGATTTTCCATCCGACTCTCGTATTTCATAATTGAGAGTAAAAAACGACGAAATTCAGAGTAAAAAAAAGAAATATCTGGAGGGAATGGATGTGACTGGAGTTGAATTTCCTACCGAGTAAAAGTTGGCTTCTTGAAAATTAGAGGGCTCGTCAAGTGGAACTTTAAATTGGAGGCCGCACACCACCCAGTAGCCTCGACAAATTACCCCTTTTCCACATCTCCAATTTCCACGAGCGGAAATAAGAGTAAAAAAAGAAATAAGTTGGAGGTAATTCGTTACGTCGGCGGTTAATTCATCCAACTTTCAACCAAGATACAACTCCATCGATATCGCTATCGCATTATAACTCATCCCCAGAGATATCAGAACAAATCGACCACCCATTGTCCATCTCTATCTCAACGCTCCACACAAAACCCGGAAGTCAATGCGATTACATTTCTTATCGATGAAACTGGACAAGTATTACTGTACATCGGGTGCGTCGGGTTGCGCGTTATCGTCAATACTCTCGATGATGCGAAGACATACGTGACGGTTGACCTACATGAAATAGTCGGGCTTTTGATGTCATTGGGGGAGAGAGGAGTGATTACTGGAAGTGCAGAAAGGCGCGGCAGGGGTTGGATGTACCGAGTGACGTTAATGATGACCGCGGGCCATGTCGATCGAACCACGCCTGTAATTACTTCTTCTACTCTTTGTCGGGGATCTACAAGGTCGACCAGCTCGAACCATTTTTTAACTACTCGTTTTCCGGAAATCCTATTTTAATTTGAAAATTCTAAATGACATGACCACGCGCCATGTCGATAGAAGGAAGGGCTTCCGGGGTCGATCGATTGAGAGATCTCTAACGATTTTCAGCAGTACTAATTACTAATTATGTCTTATTGCGCTCTTTGTCGGGCTTTCTAAGGGAGCTGAACTATTTTTTTTATCTTTTCCCCTTCCCAGAGATCTTATTTAAATGAGAAAATTCGAAATGAATCGTTGTTGAGTCGATAGAATAATTCCTCTGACGACTTCTTTATCCGCCATTTATGAGATTTCTCGTGGGTCAACACGGGAATAGATATTTAAATTTCTAGCAATTCTCGGGGAATCAAATTTTTCATGCACGGAGAAAGGAATTTCGAATTAATGTACGGAGAAAAATTCCTAATAATATAAAATTTGCCACAACGCTCAGTAATCATGTAGCGTAGAGGCAATCGAGTAATTTTTACCAGAAAATTAACGCAAAAATTGCATAACGCTGAGAGCTTCGCCCAATTTCACGGTTTTCATTAATTACAATTGCTGAATGAATCGATTATGAAAATTCATTGAAGACTCAAAAAAATTATTTGAATTGAAAATTGGAGACGAGTGCCGTGAATTGAACGTATTTTTTTTTGTTTCAAGTTTTGTTACTTGAAATTTCAAAAGCAATTTCTAAAGTGAATTGTGCAGGGTTTTTTTTGATGAAAGGGGAACGAGGTTGACTCATTATTTTACAATGAATGCTGTTGATAAACAGATAACTATCAAAGCGGGTCAATAGCAAGTTGATTCTCTGATAAGGAGACTCAATCTTGCACTTAAAAAATTTCCTAGAGAAGTCGTCTCAACGCTTTTTAATCAATTTCTATCTATTCTCTGGAAAATTCGGATTTGGTAAAATAATCCATAAAATTCTACCTAAATTCCCCGGTAAGTAGATAAAAACTTGAAAAATAATTCGCGGAATCGTATCAGCAAATGTGAGATAACATCCGTGCGTGAGGTGAATGCGAAATTGATAAAGATGTAAAATTATGGGACTCACTGTGATTTGTGCACTGCTGGTGATGCTGGGGCTCGGACTCGGTGTTGTGTTCGGAGAAGAGTTATCTCCACTCAAACTAACTGGTGAACTTATGGCGTTGCCAACTGATGGGAAAGCCCTCGCTGGATCAGCCTGCCACTGTTTATGAATTTGCTGAGCTGTATCTCGAAATCTTGCGCCCTGCACAACAAATTTGAGAAATCATTACTAAAAGAATATTTTCAAAAGTGCAATAAAATAAAATATTCCATAAAAATCATGAAAATCATTCGAAAAATAATTAATAATTCAAATTCATTTTTAAAAACCGATTTTATCAATTTCCAATAATTCAGCCAATTGAAGATGACTTTTTCTGCATTTAAGAAAATTTCAAAATCATTTGAAAAATTCAATTCCAATAAAAAAAGATCACTGAACTCTTCATTGAATCTGAAAATTCAATAAAATTGCATTTCTCAATGCAATTCAGATCCAAAAATAGAGAATTACTGGAATATAAAAAAAACTAGCTGATCCATCAATTCGAATCACTGAAATTCTAATTCTAATTATTCTAATTATTCTAATTATTCTAATTATCCAAGAGTGTACATCAATTTATTAAAGATTTATACATGACAGTCTCAGAGTCACAGGAGATAGATTACAGCTACATGAAGCGTTGGAAAAAAAAGGGTAAAAGGAGAATAGGATTGGGTTCACGGACCCGAAAGGTCGAAAGGAGGTTCGCGTGCCAACATACAATTCACTCAGACCTCGACGAACCACTCGTACACACTGATATACTTGAAATTATGCAACCACAAGAGCTGGGTAATAACAATTAGCACGTTGCGCCGTTAAACATCAGTTTACAGGCACTTTTCAATGCTACTTTCGTGTATTTATCATCCGATAAATAGTGTCTCAATTCGATATTTGATATTTGTATTCGCATTGTCTTGTCAAAACGTTGGGGTATTAATCCTGAAATTATCAAGTGTATGTATCTGTGGTGGAAACGCACGGGATTATGGGATAACTGAACTATTTATAGAGTGAAAGCAATACGAATGGAGGGATTTACGCTCGTTTGTGTATGACAGGGACTCGGTGGGGGGATGATGATTATTAAAAAGAGGTACAAGTTTTAGTTCATTGCCGGATGTTGTACACGTGCCAATGGCCCTTGTAATTCTGTCATGAAGCCATTCAGAATTCTAAAAACGTCTTCGCTACTGTTGGATCTCTTTTTGCACACGTCATTTTTGGATTTAATCGAATGAGTCCGAAAAAAAATTATTTTTTTATACAGGCATCTGTGGAATCGATGATTTATACGGGATTCAAGGGAATTTCTGATTTTGTAACAGATCAACAGGTCATGGAGATATTTGTTGTGAGTCATTAGAGAAGAAATTATTGCGGATATGTTATGGAAGTGTTTTGAAATGTTTTGAAATAGAATTGAAGCAATTAGCGAATTTGAAAGGTGGGCGCAGATTTTTCTTAATTATCCATTCAAGCGGAAGAGATTGAAGGATTTATAATTTTTGGGACTCATCTTTATCCACGTCGTGTGCAAATATATAATAAATATAATAATAAAATGTAGTGGGATAAATTATGAAATTCATTTAAATTTCCAATTAATATGGAGCGAAATACAATTCCGTGAAAACGAGAGGACGAATCCCTGACCTCGGAAAATTCAATTCCGCAATTTCCCTCAAATTTTCCTCGGATGTCCGCAAAAAATCCAAAAACTCGTAATTATCTCGTCCAAATGTTTACCTCATCAAACAAATCATCAAGATCTTCGAGCTTCCTGGGCGTGTACTTCATCTTCACGCCGTCAGCATCCAAGTAAAACATTTCATCAAATGCCCTGACAATCTCCAAAGGACCTTCCAGACCCGCACGTTATTGCATTCCCCGGGTTGACACAAATAGTAGATGACGCGTGTTAGTCGTCACCCAGTGGCAATTACCAGTCATTAAATCAAAAAAAAAAAACTGGATTTCGCGGATGCCAGTCTCACGGTGGTTAATTGATTCCCTCAATCATCCGGTCTGAATAATTCCACCAAGGTCATCGAAGGATGTCCCTTAATCCTGATGATGAGCGTCCAGGAGATGGCCTTCTCGGAATTACAAAAACATACCCTTCGGGCCCCTGATATCACGTACCATCGAATGAGGAAATAAGAGAGGGGGAATAAGAGGATAAAAAAGAATTGAGCGATGGAGCCGGAATCGCATCCACGAATACGTGACCAAGGTCTAATTGGATGCGTCCCAAGCCCGGATCCCCAGTATATTCCTCTTCATTTGTGATCCAGCACCACAGCAAAATTGAAAATCAATGACAATGACCATTACATCATTATCCACGTCTCGATCTCAATTATTCATCACGGATTACACCACGACAATGTGATGCCGTTAAAAATAAAAATCATAAAAAATTATCGGTGACTGGCACAACACTGGGAATTTATAACCGAAGGGGTAAAAGGGTCTCGGAGAAGAGGTCACTGTCGCGATAAACCAGGGGATAACGATCGCCAACTCTTCCCGATGTTCAGGAAATAACAATGAACCGGCATCACGACTCGTCCCACCACTTGGCTTTTATATTCAACTATAGCACTTGCCATGATTTATCGAAATAATTTTTCTAACTCAACTTAATAAATTTCACCACCGGTTCGGTAATTTGTACACTCACTCATTGAATTATCCACTGGCTGTGCACACAGCTATTTTGATTTTTATCATTTTTTTTTTTCAGGTGTTATTAACGCTCTTTCATTACCGAGTAAATAAAGCAAGTACCGTTTTCACTGGCGGGTACAAACCGACTGTCGGAATAACTTGTTAGAACTGCGCGTGTGTGTACACCACCTCAACCTCAGGGTCGAATTGTTATTGCGTCTGTCTCTCGTCGTTTTCATTGTCAGGCAAACCACCGGTGTAAATTCATCCGAACTAACGTCGGGGTGGAAATTTTTGATGGATTTTTTAAAAAATAATTGCTCATTTGAATGAAGAGGATGGGAATGTGCGACTGCGGCTGGGAGTTGAGATACCGACGATCTGCGGACTTTGTCTGCATGCGGATCTCCAATGGCTTATGGGAGTGGGGGATATCTACCAGAGGAGCTCGAGGTGTAGAGGAGGTGGAGGTGGTGGAGGTGGTGGATGTGGTGGAAGTGGTGGAGGTGGTGGAGGCAGTGGAGAGCACTTCCAGCTTTTGTCGGTTGTCAGGGGAGAATCACGTGGAGAAATCATCTCCAGAGATTAATTAGAATAGAAATCGTTCGATATATCCCGAAAAATACGAGGCTTGAATCAAAATGTGGGATTTTTTAAATAATTTACTGTGTATCGATCTCGATTAATTTTAAATAGCTCGATTATAGGAACCTCCACTTGTATTTACTCTGAGAGAAATTGCAGCTGAGAGAAAATAAATTGTTTAGTCGAAGAATGAATTATTGATTGTTAGAAGTAATTTTTCTCAGGGGCAAAGGGACAATGACGCTGAGAAATTATTTTTGGGGATTAACCGCAGGGAATTGATGGATTTTAAATGAAGTCAATTATTTAATGATTCTGGAACTTCACGTGGTGTTTAGGCAGTCGTATAATTATATGTTTTAGAAGGGTCATTTAGAAAAATTTGAAAGGCTCTATTAATTTTCTGGTAGTATGAAGATTAATATCCATCAGGAATTAATGATTTGATGGATTTAAAGTGGAGTCAGGGGCCGGAGTGGAGATCACTGTGACATCCAGTTCGATTTGGAGATTGAGAATAATTCAGGGATTTTATAAATTATCTGAATTTCAGGAGAACATGAATTTTCAGTGTCAAATGAGATGAAAATTAATTGAAAACTGTTTAATAAATATAAAATTTAAAGCGTTTTGCCAGTGGGGCCTGGGAGTCTCACTAAAAAATCAAATTAATCCATAAATTCCATAAATCACTCAAATTTTTAATTGATCATGAATATTTAATATTAAATTAAACCGAGTCTTCATTACTTCGCCTGATTTTCCTCAGATAATTGACCCCGACTGAACAATTTCGATACAGCCCGTTACCGTCTCTCGCGAAGATTAAAATTGATTGAAAATTATTAAATATTTTTCAGCAGAGACCTTGAATTATATTTTTTCAATACGGAATAACCAATAAAATAATAATAATCTCAAAAATTTTTTAAATTGTCATATTCAATATTCGGAATATTAAATCTGATTTCCATTTTTTTAAATAATTGACTTTCTCAGCGCAACTTTCACGTGTCAAAATTTCATAAATAAATAATAATGACAAACACTTCACATTTTTTTACGTCAATCCCATCGTTAATCTCCCAGAATAATTTTTTTTCATTGAATTTTCAGTGGAAGGGCGTTGAAAATTTAAAGGGAAATTTGTAGACGTACAGTATGAAGTAGATCACATGTCTTGTACTGACAGAAGTGAGTCTTGCGTAACCGATTGAATCGCGTGTGCCATTAGACCTCGCGTGGGATCGCCCAGATATATTGCTATTCATCTCTCGTACATTTTAACTTCCTCACATACATTCATCTTTTATTCCTATCAATCGCGTCCTCTGCATTTTTATTATATCGTCATTGAGAATTGAGTGCACCAATTCAAGATGTTTTCCTTTTCAATTCAGATATGTCTTGATATTCTACTCACTACCGGTTTCAGTAATTTATGGAATTTATTTTATCAATTGAAATTATTTCATTCACTCTTAACTACTAATTGTCGAGACAATAATGACAGTAGTAATTACGTGAAATTAGACTGAGTTAAAAGAAATTATAATTGTAAACTATATTTACTGATCGTTAAATGATCGTTTTATATCAATTTTTATGGAATAATGGAATAAATATTTGTAGATGTAATTTATTATTACACGTAATTCTCAATGACGAAATTGTTAAATACGATGAAAATAACGGAAAAGTCCCCGGTATTTTTATGGTACCGCCATTGAGGATTGAGTGCAGTAATCGGATATATTTTGATCCGCTAGACATTTGTTTTCCATCGGCTATCAGTCAGATAAGAATTATCCCGTCGATAAGACGTTATGAATTATGAAAACAAGTCTGATGTTTGTTAACGAGATGTTATGCAATTGCGCCGAGGGTCGCGGGCT